CTAATTATTCTTTCATTCCCTCAGTACACAATATATTTTCCGTACCACTCTGACCTTCCCAAGACCTCTCACTTCTCCTAAGGGACTGGACCTGGAAAATCGTAGTGTCAAGGGTTAACCCTATAAACCCCAACTCCTCGATACATGCGTCCATTGTAGGGAGCCCTATAGAGCAATTTGGATGTTCGCGGAAGCGTAAAGCGCTATCGACAGAGTCTCTTCCCAGTAGAAATTCGATCGGATTCAAAGTTTTTTCGAAAGCCATAACAAGATGGACGGAAGGGATTTCGGAGGACCACTGAAAGTGGTTTGGTGGAGATTCCAATCGCGGTTTGTTCGTGATAGTCCTTATGTAGTGGACTATTGTATTTATTAGAGCTGTACAGAATAGCAGTGGGCACAGTCCCTGAATTTGGCTTCTACCTTCTCAGGTTGAAGTAGAAACCCATACAATTGATCAGTTAATACAATCGAACAGAACTTTTGGTCCCTGTTGACGGTCCCCCTCTACGGGTACTTTGCTTTTACGTTTCACCATCGTGTTGATTATCACCACAGGCAGTGGCCAGTGAGGTCGCAAATGTATTGACATATCCTCAAAATAGACAATTTCATGAAAGTGGTCGGCATCATGTACTGCACGACGGCATCGTGGCTTAGTCATTTCAATGACGTTCAGATACAATACTACCTTGAGTAGTTCATTACCCCGGCTACGACCAGCAACAATTTTGTCTGTGGGTGTCGAGGCTAATTTAGAATTTGTGAAGAGAAGGGGACGTGTCATCTCCGTGTGGATACGCTCTTCACAGAGTTTGTTCTGTTACAGGGTCACTTTAAGTATCAGTTGCATCTTTAGGGGACTCGCTTGCAAATATCTTGCTCTCCTTAAGATGAAAATGCTACAAATTATAATACTATGCTTGTAAAAATCTTCTGGATTTAGGGCCTTCTTCCCGGTACCCTAACTCTGATAAATTATTCAATGAGTATTAAGTGGTTCGCAGTGTATGCTTTTAGTCACTATTTCCATACCATTGTGCTGTGGTTTCTATATGGTGGGATTATCGTACAGATAAGAGCATTTAAATTTACTTGTGATTTAAATAGAATCGAACTCCAAAGATACGACACAAAATACTCTGTGTGGTATCGGGTTCCTTAGAATGACCAGTCAGAAAGAAAGCTTAGGTTTTATTGCCATACCGTGCCTACTAATTTGATTTAGGTAGGCATGCTATATTAGGGATATGTTCTGACAGAGCTTAATAAAATATCCGACGGTTAGGATTGGGCTAAAAATTGCGGTTAAAGCAGGGGTGGAGTTGGTCTGTCGTAGATCGTGTTACCAAATCTAATTTTCTCTAAGCGATTACGCTGAACATCCCATTTTCATTTGCATATCATTGTGCCTCTGCTCCAGCACTTCAATAATAATAATATAATAATAATTTTTACGTCTTACAGTGGTCTTTGCACTCTTCTTTCTTAGTGAACTTATATATTAGCTCCATGCTGAAAGATTCAACCTTGGCAACTAAGCCGAAATCGCGTCAGAACCCAGAAATTTCTCCCAGAAGTTCCTTTCCGGGTAATCTATATTCCCACGAATCTGTTCGGGTATTTTGTCCTTGTCTTTTCTTTGGGCAGTTGAACGAATCACCTCAACCTCCACGCTTATTGAAACAATTGCTTTTAGGCACAAAATGTAATCATACAATTTTCGCTAGTGTTCTTAGCGTGTATATTTGTAACGGATAGTTGGTACGGTTTTATTATTTGCGATTTAGGCTCGAACAAACTAAAGCATACTACAACCTACATAGTTGTATCATACTAACGGGTAGCAGATAAATGGAATAGAAGACTGTCTGAACGCATTCGTATGTTGACATAAGCCCGAGTAACTATCTCATATTCGATTTCATCTAAGCGACTCACATGGCTTTTGTCAGTTGCAACGAACGACACTCATACCAGATATACAACAAGCTTAAGTTGCGGAGACCGCATCCCGTAAGATGTTTTTGACTGATATTATTGCGAAGCTGTGTGGATATGAGAGTCAAAGGTTTTTCAAACAAACAAGACCATGTGATCACCGTAACAGTAATTGCATTTGTTTCAGTTTTGGGATTCCTGCAAACGTCCATCTTAGGAGAACAAGAGATCAGTAACACACGACAGCTCAGACGAATACCACTGGAGGCTCAAGCGACTACAATTGCCTTCCGTCAATCGCATGTGCCTGCTTGATATCATTACTTCCCAATACTAGCCTCAGCTGCAGCCAGTTATTGAATCAGCTAACAAGCAAATCAATTATCACGTTTCCTTGGGTAAAAAATTAAAGACTTCCCCACAATTCGAGGGATCTGGCGCCCAGCTGTAGCTTCTTACCCTCTTCCACCTTTCCTGCCATTAAAGAAACCTCTAACTTGACCACCGTCTGTCGACATCGTCATCGAGTTTGATACATCATACTACAAGTCAATTTTATGTTTGAAAGCGAAGTGGGTGTTTTTTCTGCCTGTAAGAGGTACCTTACAGAAGCTAGTGGCTACCGAAAAAAATGCACTTAACGATACGGGAAGTGTCTTTAATTAGTTTGGCAGAGCATATGCTCCTGAAGTTTTGAGTAACCTAACTCCGAGTGCTTGTGTATTTAAGACTGCTAGCAAGTGCGCAAGCATTACTGTTTGCCTACCCCCATATGGCCAATCATCTTCAAGACTGAATCCCACAGGACCTCACTGCGACGACTACCACCTGGTCCTGGTACCACCAGAACCATCAACAGCTCTATTCTAGCGCACATAGTGGATTCCGGACACCGGGTGGACCCCAACGAAGCCTTCAGGGTGATCTACAGGGTTCTACCAAACTACCCTTAGTCACTGGGTCAGCGCCTGCTAGCAACAGCAGAAGCAACCACTATCCGGTTTAGGAAGCCGGTTTTGTGTGCGCAAAAGAACCTTCTGTAAGCTGTAAGCTTAGCATGGCCAACGGCCACCTAGCTACCGGCATTTTTCCGCGCCTCCTCTCTCCCTTCTCCCCACCTCTCCATAATTACCGCTTAATTGCCACTTGTTACTCCCCCCAACCCCCTCCCCTATTCCCTGGACTAATTTGCCTGTAACGTTGAACGTAATTTACCTACAACTATACCTTTTACACTTTACCCCCCTCACATATAAATGTAACGGCCTGATATGAAATTATTGAAAGTATTCCTATGCTCGCCAACTGCTCTTCAGACTTCTGTGATGGGAATTTTTGCAACCTTAAAATAATAAGAAGTATAAAACGCTTTTCTTCAGCATATCAAAATTAATGTGGGCAAAATTGTTGGCGTTTTATTGAATACCACAAAGTAGTAATTATCTGTGTGATCTACGAGACAGATGCCAATAAATTTAGAACAAATAAAGGACTGAAGTCTGAAGGTGTCTCAAATTCCAGGTCAGGTAACGTTTCGCCCAGCCGCATTTATTCACTCCAGCCATCCGTTGAATCGCATCCTGTTAACACGCTCCAGCAAACAGTCCAAATCACGAATTCTCTCCTCAGTCCTCTTCCAGACCTGGTCGAAGCTTTCGCCTTCTGAGCAGGTCATGTCAAGAGGCATGCGACAGCACAACTCGTTGAGAAACCTGGGCAGATCGTATGCGATCAGCGTTCTGCCACGCCCGATCACATCACGCACAAAGTCTGCAACTAGAAACACAAAGGATCCTTATTATTGCCATTCACGAGGAAGCCCATTAAGGTACAGAAGGTCATGAACAATGCAGTGCAGTAGTTTAGTGATTCTTTTGAAAGTAGGCAAAATGACTTAGTGGGAAGGCCGCGTAAGGATCTAGTACGGATCATGATACCAAGCCATATCACAGATAGTGACGTGTGTTATTTTTACTGAACACAGCTGCACCTACCTTTGTAAGTAATACCCAGAACGAATCAGTGCTTTACTGGCGACTATTCTTTCACTTCTTTTTGTGCTTATGCAGATGCGTCCCCATCGGGGGGCGGGGGGTATATCACTACGTAATGAGTGTATATCTTCATTCATTTTCTATGCTTCATTAAGTTTTATCCTATTTTCGAAAACGGATGCATAGCCCTTTTCTTTTCACTAATTCATCGTACATAAAACTGCGTTCCTTTCGAACTTTTCAATTGAAGATAGACGTGCACTGTTTGTGCAATAATGGAACTTTAAAGTCATTCACACAGTCTAACAGCTGATTCGTTTTCTTAGGAAATAATAGTCTATACTCTGAACTGTGTCTTCGCTTCAAAGAATATTACTTAAGTAGGATTGTCCTATTTATTATCGGGCAGCATGATTCTAAGGCATTCCAGTCACCTCAGGATGTCAGTGTTTAAACGGGTCACTTTCCCGTCGACTTCCTCTATACAAATGGGTTTTTAAGTAGTTTTCAGCTTAATGATTGATTTTCGGGGCTCTTATAAATTCAAATATACTTCATAAGAAAACATGCAAAAATAATTCTTTCTTGTGCAAACAACGTTTTCTTCAAGTCTATTGCTTGCAGAGAGTGTATTTTTCGGCGTTAAGAATACTTTCTTAAATAATCAATAAACAATCGCCCAATTATTTTGAACCAGATCTACCGTTAAACTTGCATACCGATTTTCCAAACAACATGTTTCATATATGCAGTCTCAGGGAAATCTCAAATTTCTCTATGCTATGAAGAAGAGGCAACATAGTGCTTACAAAATTTTGCAATAGATTTAGGCCATATTTTATATTGTATAAAGAACACTAATACGTGGACGGTTACAAAGTCTTAGTAATGAACACTTCATGGTCTTAAACAATCTCATAGTTGGAAACTTTGTTTGGAAGTCGGAAACTACCCTTTGTTCAGATATAAAATCTGTGGAAGATGGGGTACTCTACCAAATAAGCAAAACACAAAGTATTTTCGCGAATTTTTTCTCTAAAATCGATTTCAATTTACAAAGGTATCGAAATTAAATGAACAAAATACATGTTGCTTAAGTAGACATTTTACAAAATATAGTGTTCCCATGCGATATTAAAGAAGTTCGTCCAAAAGCCGACATTCTGATGTGACTGAAGTATCTTAGGATTAAGCTGCACGATAATTAGTCCCACAATCCCATTTAAGGAATATTTCTAAAACGAAAACACGTTTCAGAATTAAGATTACAATTTCCTAAGATAACAGATCTACTGTACACACATATATTGATGTTATAATTTACTTTAAAAGGAACCCAGCTACTAGCTAAAAGGCCCGGAATGAGCTATTCGCGTAAGAAAATCCTGTAGAGCATGCTCCTTGAAACTCTGTCTGTTTAAATGCATTTAAAGTCATTGCATGGAAGATTGCCAACTCTTGAGCCTACCTGGACCCTTCTCAGAACTGACAATCTGGCTGCGACGGTTCTTCCTTAATTTGGCTTCTATGAGACTCACGCATGCTAGCTGAAAGCCACCGTTATGGTGCATGTAGTGGAGACTAGGTCCCGAGCAACCGGTATATCAACCAGAAAGCAGACAGAGAAAGCTGGGGGATCCACTGCTGAGCCGAACCCCTCGCAGCTGTCAAGCAGGGGCAGAATACCGGCGAAACACGTGTCTGGGCCTTGTAGCTAGTACGTGGGTTTTTAGTATGATAAGTTACAACATCAGTATATACTTCTACAGTCTGTCCGTAGGCAGCCCGTGTATATTATGCAGTGCTTGGGAGGTTTCAGCCCAAATATACACCTAAAAATTTCGGTTTATGTCTACAGACCCTAAATATACTGATGTAGACCGCGAACAGAAATTAATTTCTAAGGAAATTAAAAAGCTGAGATATACTGTATGTACACAGATTGATCACCAAATTTTTCAAAGTGTTCAATCTAATTGATAAACGTGCACTATTAAATGATAAAGAATAACTGATTCATAGGAATCGAAAAAGACATCTTGTTTACGCATTAAGTATATAGCGTGCGCTTAGGAGTCCTTAGGAACGAAGAAGTGAAGAAATAAGTTTTTTTTTAAAAGATACACGAATTTGAGAGCATTTAGAAACTGAAATATTTCCTCCCTACAATTATTAGGATAAAGTATGCTGTGGCTTTCCGAGAGCGCAAGCCTACTACATGCAATTAGTGTTTATCTAAGTTCTGCAAATATTCTCATGTCTAACTTGAAAAAGTCTATTTGGTATGCTTTCGGCAATTCATAATCGGGCCTGTATAATTGCATGTCTCATGATTAAAACTCATCGTTTTCACACCGCCCGCATGGGCAGATCGGCATGTAGAGGTCACTGCACTGGGACACAGGGGAATATAGGATAAGCTGTGAGTATTAGTCATAGATCGAGTACGTGGAAAGAAAATCACGGGATGGACAACTGTCACCGGGCGTGGGGGGAGGCGATATGCGATCGCCACCTTGCGTGTATATCTCTCCAGCAAACACGATCAACTTCAAACAAACATCGAAAATTAACGGACAACGCATACAGCATTTTCCAGGTGATAGTTCTTCAGTCCAAGACCTGCGTTCTTACTAAGAAAGCCAGTTTTGTCATAAAAGTGGTAAAAAGAGATCCAGTCCCACACCACTTAGATTGTATAATTTTCCTCCATTCGAAGGCGTACTAACGTTTCATGAGTCTCGGGGAATTTTACATAATCCAAAAGATGGGAAGACAGTAAGAAGGAACAGAAACATAACTAGCAGCAAGTAACGGCTTCTGTAGTTTCGCTGAACCGTTCTGAAGCCTGAAGATAACATCTGTCGAAGTAAACACCAAAGGTTGGGATGAAAAAAAAAACGCATTCGGCGCGAGCTTCCACTTTTTGAACACAGCAAAGTTCTACGAGAACTTTCACTTGCAAGAGGCCACTAGTATCATCAGCAGTCGCGAATTATATGAGTAAGCAGAAAAAGGTAAGCTACTTACCGTCTGTCCTCATCATGCCCGCAAAGGCAGACAGGTCAAGATCGCACTCATTCAGCTGACAAACCAGTTCGTCCTCCTTGCGGTTAATATAGTCCAGACAATTGGCCCAGCGCTCAGCAATGTGCGACTGTCGGCAGGTACTGTGCACTCGATGCC